AGTTATACCCCACACACCTTCACTCTTATTGTGTATAATGTGCCTTTTGTCATTTGTTGTTTTGGAATATAATAAGTCACTTCTGCTAACTAACTGAATCCAGTAAATGAAGAATAAGACAGATTTAATTAATTTATCCTGAATAAATATAGGCAAATTGGGTCACATTGCAAAGGGCTTCATACTCCACTGCAGCTCAGAGGCTTCTTGTGGCTCCAGAGTTGTGGTGCACCAAGAAATCTTTTTGTGCAGTACTGCTGGGCCAGGATGGCGTTGGGCTTCCTAATGTAAAGGGCTTCGCACTGCAACCCCAGAGCCACAGTGTGCCAGGAAGTCCCTTTAACATGTCTTTTAAAATGTTTTAATTCTGAGAATGTCTGCAATATATTATCTCTGGTTGATTTAATGGTGCTGCAATTAGTCTGTGAACTAGCTGAGCTCCCGGATCACCAGAGAAGCACCTGGGAATGTGGCCAGTCTGAAAGACCACTGAATAACTGGCCCAAGGAACAACAAAGGGATCAGTTGGTAGATAGACTTACTTCCACCTGGACTGCGGCTATATGCCCCATGCAGAAAGCAGAGCTGGGAGGGGTGGGTGTCTTCTGGTGTGGTAGAGGTGGATCTCCCTCTCACTGGTAAGAGACATGGAGGAGCCTAAAGGTGCTTGCTGGTAAATGTGTGAGAGTCAGGAAAAGAGGAGTAGCGAGTTGGGTGTCCTCCCACCAGTCAGTGAGGGAGTTTGTCAAGAGGGACACACTTGGGTGAAGGAGCAATTAGTGATTAGGGGTCCCATATGAGCTGAGAATGAGGCTGAAGCACACATTCCAAGTTGACCATGAATATCTGGGTTGCATGTTTGGGATGGAGGACCTCTCAAGTAAGGGAACCAGCAGGCCAGGGCTAGTGGGTAATGAAATCTTTGGGAGATCCAGCGGCGGGGGTCATTATATCTAAATGGTGATGGACGGGGGACATTTTGATGAGAGCCAGAGGGCAGGTAGCCAGGGCCGGATTTAGATTGAAAGAGGCCCTAGGCTATTCCACTTATGAGGCCCTTTCACCAGTGGTGGGATTCAATTTTTTAACAACAGGTTACGTGGACGTGGCTTAGTTGGAGGTGTGGCTTGGCAATCATGTGACTGGGTGGGCGTGGCTAGCTGGTCACGTGACTGTGTAGGCGTGGGTAGCTCATCATGTGACCGGGTGGGCGTGGCTATGTGCATAGACTTTTTTCAGAGGGCTGAAAAAAGTCATTTCTGACTGGGCCTCGCACTTTTGACCGGTCCTCACACTTATGACCATCCTCACATTTATGCCCGTGCAGCTTTCTTAACAACCATGTCACTCATTTCACAACTGCTTTTCTTCACCATGGTGACAAGATAGGGCAAAAACGTAAAATGTGAGGACAGTCGTAAGTTCGAGGACTGGTCAAAAGTGCGAGGACCAGTCAAAAATAACTTTTTCAGCCCTCTGAGTAGTCCATATGCACAAAAGGACTACCCAGAGGGCTGAAAAAAGTCATTTCTGATTGGGCCTCGCACTTTTGACTGGTCCTCACACTTATGACCATCCTCACATTTAAGCCCGTGCAGCTTTCTTAACAACCATGTCACTCATTTCACAACTGCTTCTCTTCACCATGGTGACAAGATAGGGCAAAAATGTAAAATGTGAGGACAGTCGTAAGTTCGAGGACTGATCAAAAGTACGAGGACCAGTCAGAAATAACTTTTTCAGCCCTCTGAGTAGTCCATATGCATAAAAGGATACAGCAATAGAGAGGGATGAAGGAAGGGAAGGGAAATTAGAGTAGGAGAGAGAGGGAGGAAGAGAGGAGGAGAAGGAGAAAGGAAGAGGAAGTAGGGAAGAGAAGAGGGGGAGGAAGAGAAAGTAAGAAGGAAAGAAAAGAGAGGTGGTAGGTTTGAGGAGAAAGATTGCTGTACAATAAAAAAGATGAAAGGGAAGAAAGCCAACCCCAAACAAATATAAAGATATTAAGATAAAGAATGAATTGTTAAACTTTAAAGAATAAAAGAGAACAAATATGAATAAATAACAATAATTAGAAACACACATACAAACATACAATGTATTTTCTTTGAACAGAGTATTTGGCCGGTTCACAAATTTAAACAGTGTTTAGTCATTTCAATTAAATTTACAATTTCTATATTTCCTTTTTGCCATATTTATTCCTCATCTATTTTTGTAAAAAACCAATATTACCCTCATCCTCATCTCTAATCTTAATCAAATTCAATTTTTCCCTTCTATTCTATATTATACCCCTTCCCATTGTCATTTATTTTTATATCCATCCTCACATTGGTTAATTATGTAATATTACAGTTGTTTAATATGAATTCAACATTTTAATATAAATCAATTAGTTATATAACTACCTTTTTTGTATATTAATCAATATGAACATGAATATTCCAATTATTTCCATGCAATCCAATTTCTTATAAATCAATTAATTATATTTACCAATAATAATAAACCAAATAATTTCCCCCATATATTCCTCCAAACCACAACTTAACCATTTCTGCTTTCAACACAATATACAATTAATAGTATCTCAATTATTACAATTCCCTAGTTAAATAGAGCTTTTTTTCTTTTGTGTTTTAAAATCTCCTCTTTTTCCCTAAATTTCCTGTTGTTTGCACCTACCTTTTTTGGTGAGGAAAAAGAAATCTGCCTGCCTAATTTTCCAACCTGCAAAGCCAACAGCCTGCTTTACTTTCTCTTTCGTTTTTCAGTATAGCTAGGGGGGGAAAAAATCAGCACTCTTTGCAAGCAAGGAGCAGATCCGTGAGCAAAACAGCTGAGAGCAAATCAGCTGGGGGTCGGGAGCCGATCTAAGCAAGGGCTAATTAGCCTCTGCTGAAGCTCCAGGGGCCAATAAAATTACAAAAAAAAACACTGAACCCTTTGTTAAATTGCTGGCTCCCCCGCCCCTTGTCCACCACTATTGATTGGCAATAAATAGTGGTGTGGAGGGGCGGGGCAAGCCAGCAATTTAACAAAGGGTTCGGCTGCAGCACTGGCTCTAGGGCGGCCCTTTGAAGCCCCCCAGCAAGAATTTGAAGTTTTTTTTTCCTCCAGCCATCGGAGGCAGCAATAGATTGGGAGTGGGCGGGGTAAGCGAACGGCCGCCGATCCAACAGAGCAGAGAGTGAGGGTGAGTGAAGGCGTGGAAGCGGCTTTCTCCATCCTGCTCTCTTGCGTCCGGAGCCGGTGGGGAACCACGTGGCAGCCCACGTGGATCCCAGGCAGCGGAACTCAGGCTAGGGAAGGGGTGGGCAATTGTGGCTCTTTTACAACCTGTGGCCTTCAACTCCCAGAATTCCTGAGACAGCTAAGCTGTCTCAGGAATTCTGGAAGTTGAAGTCCACAGGTTGTAAAAGAGCCACAATTGCCCACTCCTGGCTACGGTAGGCTGGCGCCACGCGGGTGGGAGGCGAGGGGCGGGCGAGCCAGCAATTTAACAAAGGGCTCGGCCGAACCCCCTAGAACCCCCCAAATCCCACCACTGTGTAGGCCCCTCTTGATCTTGAGGCCCTAGGCTGAAGCCTAGTTAGCCTATAGGAAAATCCGGCCCTGCAGGTAGCATATGGGGGAAGACACCCCTGGTGCTTAACATCAGAGAGCATATTCTGGCCCTCTGTGCTCATGCTCAGGCCCTGATCACCAGACTGACAGGCCCAGGGTTTTCGACTAATGCTGCTTCATTCCAAGTTGGTCAATAACAAGATTCCTCATTAGTGATTTCATAACTGAGGAACAGGCTGACTTGGTATATATTACCAAGACTTGGCTGGTCGTGGGTGGGTGGGCGGTTATTGCTGTCTCAGCAATATTGGCACCAGCCAAGTCCTCAGGGCAGGGCAGAGGAGGAATGATTCATCTGGGAAACTCCAGTAGTCATCAGGGGCCCTGCTCCACAAGTTGCCAGTGATGAGACCCTGTTCTTGAGGTTAGGGTCAAGGGAGCAGTTGGGAGCCTCCCTGTTGTGTAACAACTTCCCTGCTTGAGCTGCTGGAGCCATCTCAGGGCTATGAAGTTCTCTAAATTTATGCTTCTGAGGGACTTCAACTTCCATCCCTGGGTAAACCTCCAAAATGGCCCAGGAGATCATGGCCTCCATGATGGCCATGGACATTTTCCTGGTCATTCTTGGATTGACTCAGGACAGTGGCCTAATTTTGGACTTAGTATTCTTGTTGGAGCAAAGGCAATGTGAGCAGAGAGAGGAGCTTCGTTTAGCCCCCACTCCCGTCACACGGTCAGATCACACCTGGTGGCTTTGAGATTCCCTTGTGCTTCCCCCCTCCTCTGAGGAAAGGCCAGACCCATTTGATTGGTCCAACCCTGGCAACTGATGGACCCAATTGGGTTTCAAAGGGACCTTGGAGTAAATACCTGCTGATCTGTTACATGTTCCTGGAATGCCCCTGGCGGCTGCTTAGAAAAAAATTTCTACTCTTATAAGGAGGCTGATTATTTAAGTTAATATGATCCTTAAAGCAGCATCCGCATCTTTTTGCTTGGATAGAAAAAGCTGTGCTAGTTTAATAAATAACAAAGGAAGCTGTAGTTGTGTGAGATCCAAAGCATTTCTCCTAGTTCATTGTTGAAGCATGCACAGCAGGGGTGAAATCCAGCAGGTTCTGACAGGTCCTGGAGAACCAGTAGCGGAAATTTTGAGTAGTTGGAGAACCGGAAAATGGCACATCTGGCTGGCCCCAGAGTGGAGGGGGAATGGAGATTTTGCAATACCCTTTCCCCAGGAGTGGGGAGGGAATGGGGATTTTGCAGTATCCTTACCAAGCCACACCCACCAAGCCACGCCCACAGAACAGGTAGTAAAAAAAATTAGAATGCCACAACTGATGCACAGTCATAAACATTAGGATTATCTGTAACCTCATTGCTCTATATAATAAGGATCTGTAGTAAGCAATCTGTCACAAAGGCAATGTCTGTACAGTGTTTGATGAATACTACTTTATTAAATTAGCCAACTGAATTTTTTAAAATAAAAAAGAATCACAGTCAATAACCTTCAATCAGTGAATGTCGGCAAACCCATGTTTTTATGGGAAAAAATAATTCCATTTCAGTTAAAAGTAAAACAACTAAGAAAGAATAATGGGGACACAGACAATATAAGACAATATATAGACAATAGAAATATACAGACAATAGAAATAGTGACACTGAAATTATATGATGATTAAAGGACTGCTGCAAAGATAGATATTTATTAGTGTAATGATTGCCATAAATATCTTTCATGGTATTTCCTGGTAGAATTTTAATATTCAAACTAAAATATAAAGATTTTTTTTCTGTGTTGCTCCAGAAAAAGTGGACTTTTGAGTGTTTTTTTTTCCACCCTAAAACTTTTAGTATATATTGCTATTTCTTCCTTTACATTTTCCATAGTAGATGGGATGAAATTCAAATTGTGTCCAGAAAGGTTGCCTAAAGAACAATGAAAATGACTTACAGATTAGCAGATGGTATAAAAGACAATGTTAGCACTTTTGCTTTGAAGATAAGTGATAGCTTCCTAAATAAAAAAAACATTGGTCCATCTTAAATTATTTCTGTACACCTAGAAGCTCTTCTTTACATAATTTCTGGGATCATTAAGTGGCCAAGCAAAACTTTATAAAAGTAGAAACATACAATCAATATAATATTAATGTATTTTTCCAGTGAATATTTTACTCTTTAAAATATACACTCTTATTCAGTCTTTCGGATCTTCTATCCTACCCTGATTCACAGGCTGATTTGCTGCTGTTAAAGTGGATAGGTCTTCAGTAGTACAGAAGGCCATTTTTCCAAATTTAGCAGATAATAGAAAAAGCAGAGTCTAAGAATTTGGCCTATTCAGAAGCAAGTAGTAACAGGTAGAGTACAGGTAGAAGCAAACTTAGGTGGTGCAGATAGCAAGCTGAGCTAGACGACAAACTCCCATCTTTGAATCTTCCATGACGAAAGTCTTAATCCTTCCATTTAAACCATCATCAGTTAGTAAGATAATCTGAATTTACTCTTTAACTTCGTTATTCATAATTTTTTATTCCCTGAGGGTATTAGCAAACAGTAAATGGAAGAAAAGGAGAATCCTGTTCCGAAATGAGCACCACATTTTTTAAAAAAAATTGAATAAAATTCAATGAAATATAAAGATGGTGCAGAATCCTTAGGTCCGGTAAAATGCAAAGATTTTTCATGTATTAAAAAAAGTATCCATATTGAACATCCAAAAAAAAAAAAAATGCTTCATGTCAAGGCAAAAACAGTTGTTCTAAAAGGATCAGTTTTTATTATTATCCGTCTTCCCCAATAAGTTTTTTTTTTTAAATTAAAAGTACCAACTTGGTTCAACTGGTATTTCACTTTGATTCAATGCTCTTTCCCGAAGTTTCAATTCCAGGCATTCTACAGTGGGTGGATATGTTTTGAGTTCAAATTTGTTAGCAAATAAATTTTTGGATTTCAGCAGCCATGGCAAGTCACCAGTTCCATAGATACATATGCTTCTGACATAATGACCTGTCAAGGCATAAAATATCAATATTATAATGACATTTTGTGGACAGAAGAATTAAGATGCATATTTGCACTAAGGTCTTTGCAGTTTAATCATACTGAAATAAGGAAGTACTGGCAACTTTAATAACATTTGAAGAAAACAGAGGGATAGAACAACATATCCTCTTCTCCTTATTCAGTATCAGTATCAAAAATTAGCTTTGTGGGCCCTAAATATTCAGCTTTTATTAGGTTGCATGCTTTAATTGTTTGTTTGTTCAATTTATATTGCTGTGCACTTTACCAGTAATTGTGGGTGGCTAACAAGGTTTTGTTGAAACCAAAAACTGACTCAAGAGACTGAAGGAAGAATCCAACACTGAGGTTATACAACTTAGTAATTTAACTTACAAGTTAGCACAATTAAAGGGCTGCTCCTTATTCTTGAGACAGACAGAGTTCCAGAAAGCAACAGTGCTCAAATTATACTTGTGATTTATAGTCAAGCAATTAAAAATACAGACAAAAGGAAAAGTTTCCACTCCAAGCCGGTGTGTGTCTAGAAGAATAGGCACGTTTCAGCTACAAAAGACAATGTGGTTTTCCTGTTTTTCACTAACGGAAAGGTTAAATGAGCTATTTAAGCCACGTCTATTGACGGCTTTTAAACTTTATTCAAACACAGACACATTTTAAAGATTATTCTGATTATATACTAGGAAGAGCTTTGACCTTTAAAGCCTTACATGACATGGGTCTAGATTATTTGAGGGACTCTTTTATCTACCCATCCTATGAGGTCAAGCCAGAGGGGTAGGTTGTGGATCCCATCTGCTGAAGAGTTACATCTGATGGAAGCCAGATAATGTTCCTTTTCTGCTGTGGCTTCTGCTATCAGGAGCATCATCTCAACCCCCGTGAGATGAGGTTAGCCTTTCAGAAGGCCCTGAAAACACGGTTCTTCTACCGACTTTGGGGATCCGATGGGCAACCTGCTTAATGGTTGCACTATGTTTATATGGACTCTCCCACAATCTTGTTTTTATTTATTTTTAAGCGTTTTAACAGTTGTGGCATTGTTTTGTGGCATTGATTGTAGACCTCCCAGAGTCACGATCAGTGAGATGGGCAGTCATATAAATGCATTTAATAATTAAATAAATAAAAGTTAGTTTTGCTTTATAATTTTAGCATTGTGTCATTAGAGACAGCACAGGTTAAAACATCAAATACAAAAGAAAATTAATTAAGATCCACCCAACTTGTATACCCTAAGGCTGCTTCCATTCTAATGGCTATGCCCTCATATTAAAACAAGACATCAGCTCATCCTGAGGTGGAGAACAGATCAAAAAATTATTATGTTTCACTTTTCCCCTTTGTTTTCCACCTATTACCGTATTTTTTGGACTATAAGATGCACTTTTGCTCCCCCCCCAAAAAAGTGGGTGAAAATATCTGTATGTCTTATAGAGTGAATATTGCGGCGGGAGGGGAGGGGGATTGGTGTGGCGCCAATCCACTGTTCTAGGCGGCAGGGATTGCCACCGCCTATCACTGCCACCCATTCATGGTGATCAGCGGCAAATGGCCCACAGCAGTGGTGAAAGGGCTGTGGTGAACAGGCTGTGGTGAACAGGCTGTGGCAGCGGTGAATGGGCCACGGAGGCAGAGGCAGATTTTTCCCCCCTTGTTTTCCTCCTCTAAAGCTAATGTGCATCTTATAGTCTGAAACTTCTTTAGTTTCTGTCTTATTCATTTCCTCTTCCTCTTTAATAATTTCCCTGTGGCCTCCTTTTTATTTCTTTTTTCTTTCCCCCACCTCCATTCCTTGTCTTTTTGTCTTTCCTAACTGCTTAAAATTTCTGCAACTTAAACAAGTCAGATAATACACTATAATCCCTGTCATTCCAGTCACCCCATGTTCTGCTGTTTGAGATGTGTATTTGGGGATGAGTTTTCTAAATTACTGTGGTTACAAATTTAAATCTGGCAATTATGCAATTATAAAAGTCCATGATATATTTGGAAAACAGGGTGCTGACATCTAAACAAAGAATTGTTTGTAAAAACCTTAATGTGGGGTGGCTTGTACATGTATACAAAGTAGCAAGGGGTGAGGGAGTAGCAAGGGAATGCAAGTGGGTGAGTTTTTTTGGGTAAATTAACCTAATTATTATTTATTTTGCCGAATTTACAGAGCCACCCAAGTTGATGAAGCCTTGAGAGTTTACAATTAAAACCCATTTAGATAGGCAAACCAAAACAAAAAGTAATGGAAAATAAAAAAAACAAGAAGTGATCATGAAAAACTTTCAATAAAAGCAATGGCCCCTCCCAGGGTGTGGAAGAAGAGCCAGTTCTTCATGAATGACTTTTAAGGAAGATGGGGTTGGGACAATTTGAACTTCCGGACAAATATTCTTTCTGAAGGCAGGTGCCAGGCCAGAAAAGAGATGCTTCCTGAGACCTATTCGATGAGGGGTCTCCAACCTTGGCAACTTTAAGACTTGTGGACTTTGTTGGCTGAGGAATTCTGGGAATTGAAGTTCACAAGTCTTAAAGTTGTCAAGGTTGGAGACCCCTGTATTAGATGATGATGTTGTATCAAAGACGGGAGTCAGAGCATGCCTATTCTGTCAGAGATTGCAGGGCAAAATAAGTTAATGGGAGAAAGGGGTTCCCCAAGTAACCAGGCCCTATGCCACAAAAATGATAATGATGATGATGATGATGATGATGATGATGATGATAAGGCACTATCAGTATCTTAAATTGCACCCTGAAGTTCACAAGTACCAAATGCACCTTGCACAGCAATCACGTGTGTATACTGAGGCATGCCTGAAATTGGCCACAAATTGGCCTTCAAGGGCAGCCCCACAAAACCTGCTTTTCAATAGTCCAAACGTGAGATGTTTAAGGCATGAGCGATTGTAAAAAGGGAGCCCAGGTATAAGAAAGGCTGTAATTGAGATATCAAAGAATCTGGGGAAAGGTTTCCTGGCCATAACTATTCTCTGCTCTTTAAGCAGAAGCTAATAACTTAGGAAGACCCCCATATTATGTATTGTCTGGAGAAGTACCACCCCATGCAGAACTCAAAATGGCAGAACCCTGATGCCAGGGCAGCCAAAACCCCACAGCCACTTGGTTAAAGTTGCTAAACCTGCTGCTCTCCATTTCCCAAACTGGGCATTTCTGGGTTCATGCACTGCATCTTTCAATCAATGCACCGTATGTTTTTCTACAATCCCTTTAATCTCCATAGTAAACAATAGACAAACAGTGCCAGAACAAGTGCATGAGATACTACATTGTTAGGGCAGTGTTAATCTTTCAAATATTAACTGCCCCCCCCGCAAACATTAAAATGATGTTCATTTTACCATGGCATCCTCCGTGACTCTTTTCTGCATCGCTCCATTTCACAGCTCTCAAGTTACCTTCCCATGTCGCATTCGGCATGGCACCGGGGACACCTGTGATTTGAAGAGAAGAAAGAGAAAGATCTTGCAAGTTCTTATTCTTAAAGTGCCAGGTAAATTGCAGGAGGCTCTTTAATGGCCAGGTGATCAGCTGAACTAATGACAAGTGCTGAACAAGTGGTTCTTAGGGCCAATCCTTGTACTTAATGATTCTTGCAATATCCCATGTGATTGTGACTTGCAACTTTCCCTGCTGGCTTCCAACAAGCAAGTCAATGGGGAAGCTGGCAGGATGTCATACGTCACAGTCATGTGAAGTCCACATCCAATGACCTGTCCAGTCCTTGCTTAACAATGGCCACTGGGACTGCTGGAACTGCCATCACTACACAGGGTGGTCATGTGTTTTTGTTTACTTATGACTGTGTCACTTAATGATGAGTTTTCTGGTCCCAGTAGTGTAATTAAGCAAGAGCTATCTGTATTGTTGTTGTTTTATCTTCTTGTCATAATCTGGAATGCAAACCTGGAGAAGCAGTGACCCTATGTCAGGTGTGCAGGGTTTAAAAGTGATTACCTCTTTTTTCTATGTACAAATATTTTATAACTGAAATTCTTATTTGAAGATTCTTTCATAATCTGGTGTGTACACAGTTCACCATCAATTCCCCATTCTCCCTAACTTATTAATAAACTGAATTTAAATGTTAATAATTTTAATAGTATACATGTAATAAATATGTGCTGCTAAGTATAGTTTTAAAAAGGAGAGCTTTGGTGAAGGGTGGGATTTTTCTTTTGCCTAATCTAAAGACATCTCTTTCATCAGAAATCAGGACCTTGGAAAGCTCCCAGTTGACCTGCAGATTGGGACACCACTGATTTTCCAAGTGTAGTCTATGGAGGTCCATCAGGTCATCTGCCCTACTCCCTGAATGTTCACAGACTAAAGCCCACTTACCATTTCAGCCCCATCTCCCTGCAAGTGTTGGCAGCCAGCTGGTAAGAGTTTGCTCCTTCCCTTAAACCAGGGGTCTGCAACCTTAAATACTCAAAGAGCCATTTGAACCTGTTTCCCACAAAAAAGAAAACACCGGGAGCCAGAAAACATGGGTGGGTGTGGCCAACTCAATGTCACTCACTTACACCAGTCATATGATACCCCCCCCACTACCTACCCAGCTGGTCATTAGGGCAGGGAACCAGTTGTTAAAAAACACCGGAAACCACAAAATCCTTTTGACATCTCTCTCTCTCTCCCCTCCCTCCCTCCCCCTCCCTCCCCCTCTCTCTGTATCTCTCTATGTCTCTCCTTCTCTCTGTATCTCTCTGTCTCTGCCCTGGCCGCTTCTCCATCCCCCGCTGTTGCCCTTACCTTCTCAGGCCAGGCGAGGAGTGACTGAGAGGGGAAGCAAGGGGCGGTGCCAACCAGCAGTGGGATCACCTGACAGGGAGCCACAGCAGAGGGCCCAAAAAGCTGCATGTGGCTCCGGAGCTGCAGGTTGCTGACCCCTGCCTTAAACCCACTTCCACATGAATGCCAACAATAAGCTGGTGACAGTCTGCTTCCCAGCTCAGTTCCTGTCTCCCTACATGCCCCAACATGTTCACAAAAATCAATCAAGGGCTAAAAGCCAATCAACTGAAGCATACAAGTAACAATACACATGGCAACACAAGTACTAATATTCAGAAAACTGCATTTGTGAATAGATGTTCAGTAACTTCATAGGTGCAATGCTAAGGAAGTGGGTTCTCATACCACCAATCCAAAATACAATTGGGAAATGAAACGACTAATATTTAAAAATGGGATTTCACTGGGTTGGAGATCAATGTCATTTTAATCCTCAGTAATTAGTAATTTCTACTCAAGAACATTCTTGACCAGCAAGTTTATGCTGAGACATGTAAATGTGCTAAGATTACTACTATATCAATTAATTCTAGTGGTAAACAAATACTTGTTCTGAATAGAAAACTTGGATTAAAAGTCCTTTAAAAATGAAAGAGGATGGAATGCAGGTACAAATGCAATCTTAATCGTTATCTTATTTGCCAAAAAAAAGGTGAACCCGCATTCTTTTAAAGATGGAAGTGTAGATAGTATTAGTTTAAGCAGATACTCCTCCATTTAAAAAATATTTAGTCATCCATGAGCAGAGAAAATATTAGGTTAAATTATACGAATAAGTTATCATAATAGGAATCTGAGCCTGTAATGAGAGGGCAATCTTAAAGAAAGAAGAAAAGGAAAGTATCAGGGAGAAAAATGCCCACATGCATTTTCTTAAAGTTAATCAGAAAAAGAAAAAAATATTAACATCCTCACTGCTCTCAATGGAAATAATTGCCATAGGTATGTAAAGCCTATTATAAAGTTTCCTAAAACTGATATCATTTAAGGATTTTGGGCTTATATAATGTCCTTAGCTTCTGTGAAATTTAGGACACAAAGGGATACTGATTCACTGATTTACTGATTCTAAACCCCAAATAGTATTTGGCTAGGAGGCCTGGAAGAAGACACTTAGTAAGTGGTCTGAGTACCATTCAGATTCTCCCCAGAACACTTAGCTCCCTCCCCCACCCACAACCAGGGTCAAGAGCTGCAACAACAAAAATTCAACAAATATGTTTGCTACATTTGTTAAAGAGAACCAGTTTGGTATAGAGGTTGAGGCATCTGGCCTTAGGGACAAAGCCCGCTTACCTTGGGCCAGACACTCTCTCTTAGCCCTAGGAAAAAAGAAATTCCAAACCACTTCAAAAACCTTTGTTAGGAAACCTGTGGGGATTAAACCAGGCAGTCAAAACTGATTCTAAGCTGTACACTCACACAGACATGCAGACACACATACATTAAGCACTGTACAAAAGCGTATGAGGAATTAAGTCCCATTGAAAGCATATACGGAGAAAGTAGAGGCAATTCCATGGAGACATGTGAAGATAATTTGCAAGACACGGTTAATATAAATATGGCCTATATACTGCAAAATATCAAACTAGCAGCTTTCTTTTAAGTCCAAAATTCTACTTCCTTCCTGAAGTAGGAGCAGATATCCTGTATTTTCCAGAAAGGATTAACAACAACTAGACTTGTCAACTGTGCGGAAAACCCTGGTGACATGGAACAATAACAAAGGCTGTGAATCCCCTGAACTACATTAATAAACAACACTTAGGTAATATTTCTAAATGATTTGCTCTCTCCACTGTGAAACTACACATTTGATGTAAAACTTTCAGCAATATCAAGGTTACTGGAGAAAGTTATTTGTTAGCAGATCAATTTAAGATACATCTTACTTGGGAAAATTTTAGGGGTTGCAACATTATTCCTCACCACAAATTCAACAAGAATGTTGGCTTAAGAGCATAAGAGGTACTATGGAAATATAGGTAGTACTTGATTTACAACCACAAGTGAGCCCAAAATTCATGTTGCTAAGTGAGACATTTGTTATGTGAGTTTTGCCCCATTGTATGACCTTTCTTGCCACAGTTACTGTGGGACACTGCAACTGTCATAAATGTGAGTCAGTTGCCAAGAGCCCAAATTTTGGTCACATGACCACGGGGATGCTGCAATGGTCATAAGTGTGAAAAACGGCCAGGTCACTTTTTTCAGTTCTGTTGTAACTTCAAATGGTCACTAAGTGAACTGTTATAAATCAAGGACTACCCGTATCAGGTTTCTGGACATAAACAATCAAAGGACATTTACTGAGTAATTATTTGCTAAATATTGCTGTCTAATTATCAGCAGGAATGGTAAGATTGAGAAGATCCTGACACGGTACTTTCCAAAAGGATTCCCCTATTGTGGATAACTAGGAAGCTATGTGGATCACTTGATGCAAGGGTTATGATTATAATGAGCCACAGTGGTGCAGTGGTTACTGTAGGCTACTTCTGCTGACTGCCGGCTGCCTGCAATTTGGCAGTTCAAATCTCACCAGACTCAAGTTTGCCTTAGCCTTCCATTCTTCCGAGGTGGGTAAAATGAGGACCCAAATTGTTGGGGGCAACATGCTGACTCTGTAAACCGCTTAGAGAGGGCTGTAAAGCACTGTGAAGTGGTATATAAGTCTAAGTCCTATTGCTATTATGCAAGTGTACATACATACACTACCCCAGCATCAAGTACTTCCTGTAGATGACACAACAGGCACCCTGACAATTGTCAGAAAAACTGTCATGTCTAGAATAAGATCAGGTACTTGTCTAAGAATGCCATGACTTACCCTAGGCCTAGGACATACTGGAAAATTATGTACATGAATCTACAATTGCAATTTGTAAAGAGGTATTGGGGGGTGGGGAGGAAGAAGAGTCCACCAACAATGGCTACTGTGTGCTCTCATTTGTTATTTGTAAAAATTGTTTTGATAGAGGTAGAAGACTTATATAACTTATAAAACTCATCCCTTTCTATGATACAACATAAACAAAAAGCAGCAGTCAAGAGTCACTCTAAAAATAATATAGCATTTGTCCATGAGAAAATAATTGATAAATGGTGGTTAAATGTTTGTAATAAAAAAAATTGCTGGCAGTAAATTTCTTAGCAAAACTCTGAAGAAGTTATTACTAGAAGAAGTCTTAATGTGCCTCTGGAAATTCTTCACTATGTATTTTTTCTACATAGAGATTGTGCTTACTGTTCTCCTGAGATCCTATGTGTGCTTTTTGGTATTCTGTGACATACTGATATCATACGATAAACACAAACTTAATACAGAAGTGCTTTTTCATAAGTAAACCCGACTTTATTTTTTTTCCTTTGAAAATGTTTAACTTCTCATCCAAAAAGCTTCTTCAGTTCAGTTCAGAATTGAAGACACTTCTTAGATGAGAAGCGAAACGTTTTCAAAGGAAAAAATGAAGAAAGTTCAGTTGCCTTTTGAAAAAAAGCACTTTTGGGACAACTATGACCTGGATGGTTGAAAAACTCCTCAGACATTGATATTAAATGTATTTCTTGCCAGCACTCTGCTTAACAACTAATTCCCACAACACTGTCTAATAATTTACTAAGACTGTATTAC